CGTAGGTGTTCTGCAAAGCTGTTCCCAAGCCTCCGCTTGGTTTCCCCAATGTAGAGGAGGCCATTACGGGAACAGTGGATGCAGTATACCACATTAGCAGATGTGCAGGTGAACATCTGCTTGATGTGGAAAGTCTTCTTGGGGCCTGGGATGGAGGTGAGGGGGGAGGTGTAGGGGCAGGTGTAGCACTTCCTGCAGTTGCAGGGAAAAGGGCCGGGGGTGGTGGGGCTGGACGTCCAGTCCCTATATACCTGCATTCCCCATACAGATGGCCTAAAAGCCCTCCGCTTCTTCCTGTCTCGCAGGCCCAACCAGTCCCCCTCCACTGACACCCTCATCCGCTTAGCTGAACTCGTCCTCACCCTCAACAACTTCTCTTTCAATTCCTCCCACTTCCTACAGACAAAGGGGGTGGCCACGGGTAGCCGCATGGGCCCAAGCTATGCCTGCCTCTTTGTAGGTTACGTGGAACAATCCCTCTTCCGTAGCTACACTGACCCTAAACCACCTCTTCCTCCGTTACGTTGATGACTGTATCGGTGCCGCCTCGTGCTCCCACAAGGAGCTCGAACAGTTCATCCACTTCACCAACACCTTCCACCCCAACCTTAAGTTCACCTGGACCATCTCTAATACCTCTCTCTCCTTCCTGACCTCTCTATCTCCATCTCTGGCAACCACCTAGAAACCGATAGCCATTTCAAGCCCACCGACTCCCACAGCTACCTAGAATACACCTCCCACCCACCTTCCTGCAAAAATGCCATCCCCTATTCCCGATTCCTTCGCCTCCACCGCATCTGCTCCCAGGATGAGGCATTCCACTCCCATACATCTTAGATGTCCTCGTCTTTCAAGGACCGCAACATCCCCCCCCCCACCCTCCATCCCCCAGTGGTCGAGAATGCCCTCGACCATATTTCCCACAACTCATCCCTCACACCCGCTCCCTGCAATAACAACCAAAACAGAATTCCCCCTTGTCCTCATGTACCACCCCAACAACCTCTGGATCCAATGCATCATCCTCTGACACTTCGGCCATCTGCAATCCGACCCCACCACCGAAGACATTTTTCCCTCCCCACCCTTATCTGCATTCAGGAGGGACCACTCTCTCCGTGACTCCCTTGTCAACTCTATGCTCCCCTCCAGCCCCACCACACCCGGCACTTTTCCCTGCAACCTCAGGAAGTGTTACACCTTCCCCTACACCTCACCCCCATTCCAGGCCCCAAGAAGACTTTCCACATCAAGCAGACGTTCACCTGTACATCTGCTAATGTGGTATACTGCATCCGCTGTTCCTGTTATGGCCTCCTCTACATCGGGAAACCAAGCGGAGGCTTGGGGACCGCTTTGCAGAACACCTACGCTCGGTTCACACTAAACAACTGCACCTCCCAGTCGCGAACATTCCTCAGACGACATGACCATCCTGGGCCTCCTGCAATGCCACAACGATGCTACCTGAAGGTTGCAGGAACAGCAACTCATATTCCGCTTTGATACCATTGAGCTGCAGGGTTCCCATGTGGACTTCACAAGCTTCAAAATCTCCCCTCCCCCTACCGCATCCCAAAACCAGCCCAGCTCGTCCCAACCTCCCTAACCTGTCTTTCCTCCTACCTATCCCCTCTTCCTACCTACTAACCTCATCCTGCCCCCTTGACCTGTCTGTCCTCCCTGGACTGACCTATCTCCTCCCTACCTCCTCACCTACACTCACTTTTACTGGCTCCATCCCCGCCTCTTTGACCTGTCTGTCTCCTCTCTACCTATCTTCTCCTTTATCCATCTTCTATCCACCTCCCCCTCTCTCCCTATTTATTTCAGAACCCCCCTCCCCTCCCCCATTTCTGAAGAAGGGTCTAGGCCCGAAACGTCAGCCTTCCTGCTCCTCTGATGCTGATTGGCCTGCTGTGTTCATCTAGCTCTACACCTTGTTATCTCAGATTCTCCAGCATCTGCAGTTCCTACTATCATTGAATAGGTTTATTCTTTTAATTCTAGGTTTAATTATATGCCCTCACTGTTAGGTCTTCATTGGGCTGCAGGTAAACAGAAGCTGTCTTTACAAAAAGTTACTTGAAATGTTTGAATAACAGCTTTAAAGAATGTTTATCTCTTACTATAGTCGTACAGTACGGAAACAGATCCTTCAGTTCATCTAGTCCATGCCAACTATGTTCCCAAACTAAACTAATCCAACTTGCCTGCATTTGACCCATATCCTTCCAAACCTTTCCTATTCATGGACTTATCCAAATATCTTTTAAATGTTGGAACTTAACCTACATCCACCACTTCCTCTGGCAATTCATTCCACATATGAACCACTGTGTGAAGAAAAAAAGTTGCCCGTCATGTCCTTTATAAATCTTTCTCCTTGCAACTTAAAAATATGCCCCCTAGTTTTGAACCCTCCAGCCGTAGGGAAAATGCCCATGCTATTCACCTTATCTATGTCCCTCATGAATTTTTAAACCCTTGTAAGGTCATCCATCAACCCATGCTCCAGTGAACATTGTCCTAGCCTATTCAAACCCTCCATTCCTGGCAAATCTACAATTTTCTTTTCAAAAGTGCATAAATCTAAACTGGATATTTGATTCATTTCATTTGACTGAATAAAACTGTTTTGTATCCAGAATATAAGCATGATGGTTGTGACTTGTGATCTTTATCTATTTTAAATATGCAGATGGTAAAAAATTGAAGACAAATCATGTAGTTACCCCATTAAGCAGTTGATATAGCAGCTCACAACATATGTTCTTAGAATATATCATTGAGCATTGCTAACGAAAGACATTTTGTCAATGATTTTTCTCTTGCATTCATCAGGACAATTTTACAAGAATTAGCAATTTGAGGAAAAGTAATGTTTATACTGTACGCCGTACATTGGTTTGCAAGTGAACGCTGAGTAGTAGAGAGGTAGCTAAGGATAATGCAATAGTTGGTGATTGACAGTTAACTGCCAAGCTTTGAAATTTAAATCCAAGTACGGTGACTAATCGATCAAAGCATTGCCTTGAGAAATGAATCGAAGGCCAGTGAATTGTTAGCTCAGTAACGCACACTGAAGTTACAGCCGGAATGCAACTGAAAGATACAGTAATCCGCTATAAAGCTGTTTCGAACATCTTGTGGTCCAGAAAGGCGGACAAAACGTGGACTCCTTTAGGAACGCAAAAGACGACTGACTTTACAGTAGGGGGATACTGTATCTTAATCCGAGAACATATACGTGCAGCGATACCGCCGTCGGGTGTGTGGTTTTGGGGCGGTGTGTGGGTTTTTTTGAGGGGGGGCGGGGTGTGCGACTGCCCGCCCACCCAGCCAGTGCCGCTGCCATTCGCATTGGTTGGCGGCGTGGAGGAGCGCGAGCCGCACAGTGCGGCGGCGCGTTACAGTGACAGAGCTGCACACCGTCCGTTCCAAACGGAGATCAGCGACCACTCCCGTCCCTTCCCTCCCCCAACAGCGAAAACAAAGAGCGGCGCGCGCCATCGGCCGCGCTCTCCTCTTGAGGCCGATGCGGCGGCAGAGATCGCGCCTGAGGCTAACGGACCGGACTGACTCGTAAACACCCGCCACCGCATCCATCACCCCCGCCCGCCGGCCAGCCACACCGGAGAGGAGGAGGAGGAGCCGGAGGCGGCGGGCGGCCATGGAATTCCAGCAGTTCGTCGACATCGCGGACAAGTGGTGCTACAACACCCCGTTCGAGCTGATCGCCACCGAGGAGGCCGAGAGCCGACTGGATTTCTACGCGGACCCCGGCGTTTCCTTCTACGTCCTGTGCCCGGACAGCGACTTCAGGGATAATTTCGTGAGTGAACGACAGAGCGAGAGCCCCTGCACCCTCCCCCCACCTCCCCCATTCCGGGTGTTGGGGGGGGCCTGAATCCTCCTTCCTTCCCTCCCCGCTCCTCTCAGTAGGGATTCGAGCTCGCCACTGCTGTGTCGCAGCAAGGACCGGTTCCCACGCCGCTAGTCCGGGCTGTCGGGTCCCTCTGACCGTCGCCTGCCTGGATCCCCATCTTCTTTTTCCCTCCCTCCTATCCTGACAGAAATCCACCCGAGGGGAGCCCCCGCCGGCCCCCATAGTCTAATTTCCACCTCGCCCACCATCGTTGACAGAAACCCACCCATGGGTCTACCACACCCCTCCCTCCCTTCCTGAGGGTTTGCTTCCCCCAGATCAGGACCACGCAACAGGGAGCAAACAGTGGTTGGGCTCATTGCTCCTCGGGTAATGGTGCCAAACAAAAGACCTAAGCATCAGACCTGACTGCATTTGTTTTCCTCTTCCATAGTGAGATTCCACATCTCCCCCCCCCCCCCCCCCCAACACAACGTATCTGACCGGTGGATGTGGGGGTGGGGGAACAGTTGTGTGTTGAATTGCAGGTTCGAGGTTTACATCCGAGGGGAGGCTGACTCTGACATTCGTGGTACAGGCGCAGTTATATAATACTGCAGCTGATGGCCCTCCCTTCGTCGTTTACAATACGCAGAACAGGTTGTTCAAGATTACCCACCGAGCTCAGTTTGGAAAGTTGCACACTTTTTATTACTTTTTTTCTTTGAAAAAGGAGAATGAATAGGTTTGCAGCCAACTATTTTTATGTCACAACTTTCTCAACTTAGCAACAGCTCAACAAACCATTTTGCGGGGCGAATTGGTTATCGAAATTCATGGCTCCTTCCCTTCTCTTCTCCCCTTTCTTTTAAAAAAATGTGTTGAAAGGGCTGGTTTAACGGGAAAAAATCTGGAGAGTCAAGCAAATCTGACACAAGAAAACGCAATGTTCCAATTTTTGCCCACATCAAATTATTTAATTTCTGTGCCCTTGTCACTATGACAAATTGGATGACTTATCTCACTCAGTGCAGTGCTTACACAAGCATACGGGTCACAAGTACATATTATTTATGGCCCTTTGTTGCTTCTAACATTTCTCTAGGAAAAGTGGAAATAGAATGTTGATTTTGGAGAATTCAATTCAGAATGATGTTTTAGTGGTGTTCACATATTGCTTAAACTAATGGCACATTTCTGTCCTAAGTAAAACAAAGTGCTTGAAAGATTCCCCCACCTCCTCATCTGACCTGGCCAAGCAATGGGCTAAACTGTGCAGATCAACAAACTTAGCTGTAAATTTTGGTAGGTAAAGGGTGTTAAAGTATTTGAGGGAAGGGTTGTCTATTCCCATTAGAAAATGATCGTAGATGTGGGCATTGAGCTTGGGTTTGATATCCTTCGGAGCTGTTTAGCCTGTCAGAGCTCAGTGGGTTCAAACAAAGAATGGCACTTGGTAAGCTACACTAGGACAGTTGAAGCATTATTCCCCAGGATGTTTATGGAGGGGACATAATCATCATGAGCTGGGAAAGAAGACATTGCATAAATTCAGTGACCAAATATTTGAAAAATCATGAGACCTTGTAGTAAAACAATGTTTTAAATTATCTAACCCTGCTTGCCATTTGCTCATTGATTTCATTGCCTTCCACAAAACATAAGATTGATCTGGATTGAAGAATAATAGTATTGCTTCGTTTTGGTTGTGCTTCACCATTACTAAGTACCTATACTAAGACAAATCTTGTTCCACACGTTATTCACGGTGGTTCATTTATGGAGATTCCTTGATGCAAAATGTCACTGGCTCTCTGAAAGTGCTATCTGCTTGATTTCATTTTCTTGCTTTCTAAATATTTAATTTTCAAATATTTATTCATATCCCATTTTTTAAAAGCTATAATTCTTCTGTTAGTTAAAGGCCAATCTGTTAGAGCAATCATTACATAAAAAATATTCTGTCTTAAATCTTCTTATCCTACGTGCTAGCAATATTTAATGAAATGATGAAACACAACATTGGATAGGATCTGGAAATTTATGAAGAAGAAAGCATGCAGTAGATGTGAGTAAATTAAAACATTTTTTAAAAGAACAGCTGTATGTCCTAACTATGCCTAACTGAATCCAGATATGGGTGGCACGGTGGCTCAGAGGTTAACACTGCTGCCTCACAGCGCCAGGGACCCAGGTTCAATTCCACCCTTGGGCGTTTCTGTGTGGAGTTTGCACGTTCTCCCCGTGTCCGCGTGGGGTTCCTCTGGGTGCTCCGGTTTCCTCCCATAGTCCAGAGATGTGCAGGTTAGGTGGATTGGCCATGCTAAATTTCCTGTAGTGTTCAGGGATGAGTAGATTAGGTGAGGTGTAGGGTGATGGGTGTGGGTGGGATGCTCTAAGGATCATTGTGGACTTGTTGGGCCGAAGGACCTGTTTCCACACTGTAGGGATTCTATGAAACACGCATACTTTCTAAACAGCTTTTTCTCTCCAATACGTTGATAAAAAGTCAGGTCACCAAATTATATTCGGCTATATCATGTTTGGGGTTGTGCTAACATAAAAGATTTTCTTAGCATTATGGCTTTAAAATAATTCATGGATCTGGATGACCAATCTAGCTTTAAAGAAAAGCCTAATTCATGTGAATCATTAATGTTTAACAGAATACTCTGGCAGTCTTTGAAATGTAAAACCTGTGATTAACTGAGTTAAAGCCACTTTAATTTTTTTTCTGGTCACTGCTCTACTACAAACATAACTTGTACATTTTTATTTTCTTCTGTTGTGTTCCTGTTAATTCAGAGGTCGAAGATTGTACAAGCCCATGTTTGAAGTTTAGTTTTCTGAGAGGAGGGCTGATGGAATTTTCCTCTTGGACTTATAGAATAAATTGAAATACTGCACTGAGCTTAGCTTAGCCCTGAATCTGCTCCAATGCCAAGACTATTTACATCCCATGTTACAATCTGCCCTGTTGGTACCTTTGCTGCTTGAAGCACCTATGCATGTCTTTGTCATCTCCAGACTTGTCTGTGGCCAGTGCTTTCATGAGCCTCCCATCATTCATCTGTTGCAAACTTGTAAAAGCACTAAGCCCTGTATGTCCCAGTGCTGTCTGTCCCACGCTGACTCCCTGAACCTCAGTGCCTCAAATTTAAAATCATCTTTATACCCCTCTGTGACCTCTTCCCGACCTGCCTAAGTTTCTCCACTCCATCCCTATAATTCCCTTATGTTTCTGTTAATGCTGACTCCGCTCTCTTCGCCTTTTTAATTGGTGGCAGATACTTTTGTTTTCTTGGTACTCATTTGAATTCCCTCCCTAAATTCTTACAAGACATACTCTTCTCGTTTAAAATCCTTCTCCAGATCTGTCAATACTCTTAGTGTTCCTTTCCAGGCTCACTGCTTTTCATATGCCTGTATAAAAAGGCGTAGGATATCTTGTCAACGTAAATGGCTGTTTTTTTTTGTATTGACACAGTTGTAATGTTTATATAGATGAGCTCACTTAAGGCAGCATAGCAGTGTCACTTTCTAGGTATAAATTCTAATTTTAATTGGTATTCTGACTTCTCTCAGTGACAGAGAGGGACAAAAATAATTTTTTATTATTTTAAAATAACCACTCCGATGTAATCACATTGCTGGAGCAGATGGGACTTCCTGGCTCAGAAGTGGGGACAGTCCCACTGCACCACAAAAGCCCTGTGAATTGTTCATTAGTTTTGTCCAGTTAGTGAAAATACCTTGAAGTTCTCAGTGAGGGATTCAAGCTGACAGCACAACAAAGCTAGATTGAACATTTTTCAGGGAATTTTTTTACTCCAAGTGGGATTAGTAGTTTCTTTTTGAAAGAGCCCTGTATAAAACAGATGTTCTTACTTGCCCTAGTTGTGTGTTCTGATTTTACAATGACTGAAGGGCTCTTCAACTGTGTGCAGTTGTTCCATGCACCTTAACACAATTATGTCATGCCTGTCTCTGCAGTGGAAAGATTGTGCATGTATGTAAGTATAGGTGTAATGGAGTTTCTAAAAAGATTTTAACCAAGAACCATGTAGTACAGGTCACAGAATTACATAGTGGGAATCAATCATCTAAGATAAAAGTTGGAAAGCGCATAGGTGATTTCCATGGGATTATTTTTTTCACAGAATCCCTACAGTGTGAAAGCAGGCGGTTGAGTCTACATCGACCCAGCAAAGGGCATCCCACCCAGACTCATCCCGTGACCCTTCATCTTCCATGGCTAGCCCGCCTAGCCTGTGCAAAAAGGGACAATTTAGCGTGGCCAATCCACCTAACCTGCAACCTTTGGACTGTGGGAGGAAACCAGAATACCCCGAGGAAACCCACATGGACACCGGAAGAATGTGCAAACTCCACGTACAGTTGCCCGAGGGTGAAACCAAACCTGGGTGTCTGGCACCGAGACAGCAGTTCTAACTACTGTGCCACCATGGCACCCAATGTTAAAGTTTAACAACAACAAAGAAGGCCATTTGGTTTACCATGTTTGTGCCAACTCCAGAATTACAGTAGGAATATTGTATATTCCTGTGCTTTAAATGTTTGTTCAGTTTTCCCTTTAAAAATTCAATTTTTTTTTCCTTTATTCATTCACGTGATGAGGGTGTCACTGGCTACGCAGCATTTCTTGTTCATCCCTAATTGCCAGAGGGCAGTTCAGAGTTAACCACATTGCTGTGGTCTGGAGTCACGTGTAGGCCAGGTAAGGATGGCAGTTTCCTTCCCTAAAGGGCATCAGTGAACCAGATGGGTTTTTCCAACAATCAACAATGGATTCATAGTCACCATTAGATTCTTAATATCAGATATTTTTTTAATTCAAATTTGCTGCCTGCCCTGGCAGGATTGGTACCTGGGTACACGTAACATTGTCTGGGTCCATGGATTAACAGTCTAGTGATAATACCACTGGGCCATTACCTCCCTCTTGC